GCTAACATCTTGCCCAGAGCTAACTTGAAGCTTCACTCTGTCAGCTGTAAGATATAGATATACTGTTGTCTTAATTACTCATATTTCTCCTGCTGCTCATAATTCTGCTTGTTCCACCAAAGAGCTCTTCAGAGAGCTTTACTGCTTCCCTTTCCCTTTCTTTGGGGGTTTAAAGGTTGTCAGATATATAAACGATCCTTGTTGCAGAGCTCTGGTAGTGACAGTGTCCTTTGTGGAGAAGATTTAGGGGGATGGGAGAACTAAATACAAACGCTTTTAGACTGCATCTCTGTGGAAGGAGAGAATGCACGTAGCGCTACCTTGCGTAACAGCATCAGGGAACGTGTTTGGCAAATCCCTTCTCTAACAAACAGCTAAGCAGCTGTTTCTTCTGCAGCTTAGAGTGTAGATGCTGGTTGTCAGGAGTAGGGTTCTTTACTCTCTCTCTCTCCACCACTGACTATCCGTGGCTCTATCTGACTGTTATTCCTCTAAAAATGCCGTTGGAAAGGCACTGGAAACTTGAAAAAAACCCCAAACCCAACCCGCTGTGCCATAGGGAAATTGTAGTCCTTTGTGGTTTCACCTCTCTCTTTTGTGATTATATGCCACTGTTTCTGTTATCTATATTAATTAATCTGTCTGCTACTGCTAGTATTTCATGTTGAGCAACCTAGAGCAGACCAACGACATGACGTCCATTTTTTTTTTGGACAAAGTTTTGAACAAGCTTTATCCTGGAAGTGAGCTCTCCGGTGAGTTACACCTTTGGCCAAAGCCCTTCCCTCCTGGCTATTTGAAGCCCGCTCTCAATTTTAACAGACCTCAGCTTTATACAGTCAGATAGTTCAGCGGCAGAATATATCTTGGTATTCAGCTGGTTGTCTCCGTTCAGCTGGCTGACAGGTTCAGGAAGTAGTACTGTAAGTTTATGTTAATTGCATAAATTACGAGCCTGTCAAACTGCTGTGGTTGAGCCTGTTTCCATCATCAAGCTTGTTGAGCTGGTGGTGTGGTTGGAGGTGGGACTGGGCAGGGTGCATTTTCGGCAAGGGGGGGGCTTAAGCCCTCCACTCCAAGTTTTGCTGCTACTTTAAATATCTGGTGGAAATGCTGTGCAAGTACAGAGCAAGAAATGTTTTAGCGTCAGAGCAGTGAGAGATGTCATGAGCAAAGATAACACACAGTTCTCCACAGTTAAAACTGACCTAGTAGTAGTAATAGGCAAATCAACAAGAGGATGCAATAAGTAATGACCAAACTCTTCTAGTAACAGAGATGAGACTAAAGAGTCTGTTAGGGGAAGCAAATGGAAATAGATGAGAGAACTCGGTGAGAGGAACTAGAAATAAAGAGTAATTCTGTTCTGTGTGGAGGAATAGCACGGAGAAAATAGCTCTTCATGCTCCTGAAGGGCTGAAAGGAATCAGAGGAGCTGCCTTGGAGAAGTCAAGTTTCAGGCAAGGTCACATGAGTTAGCACGCACGGGAAATCCATGGAAGCGATAGCTCATTTCAGACCACTGTCTATAGGAAGCTCATAGTCAGGGAATACCGCCTGAATAACGTGCCGTGCAGCTCCGGCCCCAAGACTGGACAGGGCGACAGGTGAAGCTGGTCCTGTTAAAAACTCAGTTCAGAGGAGTTTGCCATGGAAATTTGTTTGCTGCAGAGCATACCAACGAAGTGTGTGACTGGGCATGGGCATCTGCACCTCTCCCATCTGCGGGGTGAGCTCTGCCTGGGTGCAGGCTGCCCAAATACCTCATTTGCCTTTGCAGAAGAAGGCACCAGGACGCCACAGGGAAGGACTCTGGGAAACTGGCAAGGCCCCGGGGGCATCCGTTCAGCCTGATGCTATTGTGAGGGCTGCTGGCATAGCTGGAGGCTGCAGAGTGCAGGTGGCAAGCAGGTATTTCCCTCTATTTGCTCAAGGTTTTCTCCTGGAGCCTCAGCACTGTCTCCGGAGAGCAGCTCTGAGGGCAATGTGGTTGGTTAAGTGGGTGGTCATGCAGCTGCTCTGGCACCTAGTCCATCCTGGCAGCTACTCCGCACCGAGCAATTTCCTGCCCAGTGCATCTTCTGCAGTAACGTTGGACAAACAACTTGACCTTGTGCCTCAGCTCTCCAAACCTAAGGATGTTTCCCTATTAACTCCTCTCCACAAACCCAAGGGGTGTTAAAAGAAGTAGGTCTCATGACTGTGTGGTACTTGGATGCCATGGTAATGTAATTAGCTGCACAGCAATCTTACTAAAAATGTCCTTGGTGGAGGAGAGGATGGGGTGGGGGACTCGTTTAGAGGATGGATGTTAAAGGGGAGGAAGTTTCCAGACCTGTGGCTTCACCACAACTTGACTGTACAACACAAGTCCTTCAGTGCAGATGCGAACCCAGAGCTTCAGAGTGTGATGTTTACCACACGTGTCCGTACAAAATATAATGCAGCACAAACTATTTGAAGTGTTAATAGATTATGTAACAGCTTTCCACCCCCAGCAAGTCTTTTGAAATTTTTATATGGTATCTTGGGCTAAAAATCTTTTTCAGCTGATGTAAAACTTGCAGTAAACTTCAGGAAAGTGTTCCTGTTACGGTTGCTTCCTCATTTTCTCCCTCTTTCTCTTCAACGTTACATATGGATCCAGGAACTTCGGGGCTGCTTAATGCAAAGGAGAGAGGCACAGGGTTCTGCGTGGAAATCTGAAAGCCTCGGTGCAGAAAAGCTGTGCTGCCGATTAGTTTATCTCTGTTACTCTGCCAAACCCCCAGACTTTGGCAGCCTGGGTCTTCTTTTGCCTTTTTATATCCGTTAGGTCCTTTTCCTCCCTACCCTCAGAATGACCTCCGTAGCGATGGCTGCCAAATGTTACCGATATTAAATATGAGGATGTGTATCAGCATCCACAAGGCACACGCTCCCGAGCCGTTCAGCTGGAGCAGCAGCCTGTGAATTGTCTGAAGCTTTTGGAGTTAACGCTTTAGCTCTGGTTAGTTGGGAGTTAGAGTAGCATCGTGTCACCAGATTCTTTTCTCAGCTGTTTCCTCGCTACTCCAGCAAGGAAGACATTTGTGTCCGTTGTTAACCCTACTGTATATTTATAAAAGACATGATAGGCTGTGTTTGTGGGTTAAATGAAGACTAATGGTAGTAATAAAAAGTAAGGTTTCATAACAATATTCAGAGAATTTTTCAAAAATTAGGTGAGATAATTGCGTGATGTAATGAAGGGCAAGCTTGCATTGGGTGGGATTTTGGTGATTTCTTTATTCAGATGTTGTTCTCCTTTATTCAGATTTTCTTGCATGCTAGGACAAGGCACAGCCAGCCATGTTTTCCATCCTGATGAATGAAACTGAGCTCAAGGAGTTTAGCTGCGATTGGCTTCCCCTGCAAGAAAGATTGCTCTTTGTTGCCTGAATCATAATTTTAAGGCATGAAAACTATTCGTCAGGAAAGCAGCATTTTAACTCCTTACATCTTGCAGCCTGATCTTTGCAAAGTAAAAAAAAAAAAAAAAAAAAAAAAAAAAAAAAAAAAAAAAAAAAAAAAAAAAAAAAAAATTTCCTCATCCGCTGAAGTTGATCAGAGTTTGCTCTGGGTTGTAATAAGTCGATAAGGTCACCTTGATTACTGTACATTGGTGTGGCCCTGATGGCACGCTCTTGATAAGACAGCCCATTGCTGTGATTTAATCCAAATCTGTTTAATCATATATAATCCGCATCATTCAAATACACTCACCAAGGATCCAGTTTTATAGCTGTACGAGGGGAGGGAAATCTCGTGTTGTCACAAGTCATGCTGACATCAGTGGGGTTTCTTATTGATGTAGGACTTAGTGCTGGCACATGCAATTACAGCAAAATTTGGGGTTTAGCATATTTGCAATTTGAGGTATTTTTAGGAGGCGGTTGCTTTGAGGTAAACGAGGAAATGAACTCTGGGCCACGTCCAGCAAAATCTTTGACTGAGAGTTGTGCCCAGTGGTCATTCCAAGGAAAATATATACAATAATCTGAAATTATCTGTTGTGCCATTAACAAATCATAAATGTTTTGTTTATATTTTGGGGCAGAAATTTCACTTTACAGAAAATATAAAAAAGAACCTCTGCTCCTCCCAAGGGCGTTCTGTATTGTTTCAGAAATGTTTCAAGAAAAACAAAAGATATTTGTCAGCATAAGTAATCCTCAGACATTATTGCAGTGTTGCTGGTTTTCACGTTCACGATGCCAGTATCAGATCCCACCCCATCGGCGTCACCATTTGTTAATGTGATGCACACGTAGCTCTGCAGCCTAATGCCTTATAGCCCTGAATCTAAAAAACCTGCTCAAACCCACGGGTAACTGTCAACATCTGAGTAATCCTGTTGGAAGTCAGTCCATGCATCCGTTAACTGTGCAAACTAATCCTGAAAAAATTTTAAAAAAAATTATGAAAAGGGCAAAAAGAAAACACCACGCTTTCCAAGCCGATGAAACTCCACGCATGCTTAAAGTTAAATACTGGGATAAATAAATAGTGCATAATCGGAATGAATCCGTACCTGTAACCATGGTTTATTGGTTATCCAGCGAAATCACAATACAAGGTGAACTTTTTTCAGTTTGCACACTGTATCACTTCCGACGCATTTCTGACTTGCCTTTTTTTTGTGGCCATTTTGCAATTTTCTATGGATTTGTTTAGATTGTAAATAGGCACACACACTAGCTGAAGCCAGATAATTTCTTCTGGCCAGCTTTGCCAGTAAATCACTGAGGTATGTAATTGGGTTTCTATAAAATCGTGCATTGTGAACTTGGGAATAAGTAAAACAGAAGCAAAAAGTTGATTTTTGTAAATAGTATCATGCTTGTGCAAAACTCCTGCTTTGACCCCGTTCTTCTACTCCTTAATCTGAGCATTTCGATTGTTCTTTCAAAGTTGAATGAAAAGCAAACTACGGAATAAATCCGAGCAAAACTGGTAATAATATCTGGTTTGGCTCGTAGGTGGAGTTGAATACAATGCCTGCATTTGTGGTTAACTACAAGCAATGTGTTATGAGGACGATGGTATTCAGACACATACCCAAACAATTTGCTTCAGATAAAGCGAATACAAGACTCTGACCAGCAGGAGAAGAACAGGTGAGAACCCTCGAGAGTGGAACTGAAATAATAAGTATTTTGATGGTCAGGAAAAATATTTGTCCAGTAACACAATAGATCTTCTGTCAGAAACTCAAAATACTAATTACAATCTGCCTAAAGACTTATTATAAGTGAAGTGGAGATAGAAACATGTTTATATTACGGGGAAGCTTATTTGCAGATAAGCAGGAAACCAGTCACACATCTTCACAAACATAATTTTAGCTGTTTTAATTAGCAGGTTTGCTTTGATTTAATTTAATTCAGTGATTCCTTCTATCTTTACTGACACATGTGCAAATAAAATGTGCTGACCTGACTTCTGACACCCAGTTTCCTTTTTCATTTCTGTTTTGGTTGTTGTTGTTTTCGGCAGTGTTTACGGTGAAATGATGGGGTCAACACTTCCTAGCAGCATGGCCAACAGATGTAGCGTGGGGATGACAACTGTACGTTGGAGTGGTCTTTTGTTACCCCAGCACTGACTGATTGCTGAGGTGCTGGAAGCCAGGGTGTCAAAGGCCATCAGAAGTCCTAATAGCCTCTAGATCCCAATTCTATTAAGGGTTGGAAGGTCCAAAAACATCCCTTTTTTTTTGTGTAGTTGTGGTAAAAGTGCGGTGAGCTTTTTTGCTAAAGAATGAGACTCTAGAAATAAGCCCCATGTGTGCCTTTAGCAACTTATTGTAGCCTGTTCGTCAACTTTGGGTTGAAAAGCAAGGTTTTAAAGCTGTCAGAATTCGTATATTTAATGTTTGGAGATTTGGTGGTTTTACTTAACAGTGAAAGTAGTTATTGACGGAATAAAAACTCGTAGTTTGGAGTAAAAATATCACATTAACATACCGACAAAAAAAAAAAAAAATCTGTGTTGACTTTGCTGAGTTTTTTGTTGGTCTGAGTGCTTGGAAACTTTTTTTTTTTGGAAACTTTTTTTTTTTTTTTTTTTTTTCTTCTTGTTTATGTCAGAAAAACAACTGCTAATACACCAGGTGTTGTTTTCCCTTCTCTCTCCAACCCTCCCTTTTTCAGTGTCTCACAGCTGTATGATAGGTAATTAAAACAATCACTGAAATGTTTTAAAGCTGTTGTAGCCTTTAGTTGACTTTTAAAATTCATATTTGAAGAAGAATGGTAAAATTAATTTGTATCTGGCTCAGAAAAGTGCTCTTTACTTGAGCAATGGACTTTACAACGTTGCCAACAAAAAGAATGAAATGAATATTATACTTACCTTTATCTAGGGTTATTCTGTTAACTGTTTTATACTGGAAATTATTTTCAATATCATACAGATGTCTACAAGTCATGAATGCAGCAGCCCTAGCATGCAGTCAGATAGCTCTCCTACTTCATAATCATGGTAAAAATAATAATTCACAAGGAGTAAACTTGCCAGGACAATTAAATGATTCTGCCCCGAGATAATGGAAAGATGAAGTTTATATTCTTGTACTGTAAAATATGTAAGGCTGGAAAGTGTTATTAAAGGAGTATTATGTGGTTCTTCTGAAAAGAATGGTAATTTTACAGGTTCATCCTTCTACTGTGGAAAGATACTTCAGAGACTATGAGAAATGGAGACTTCTGGATAGGCAATTTTTGGTGTTGAAACACTCTTCTGTCTTCCTTCCTTGTCTCTATTTTTTTGTGTTTCAGTCGGTAGTGGGCTTTAGGAAACTTGTAATTCATTCATTATGGAACGCTTTGTCTATGGGACGGGATTTTGTTCTTAAAATAAACTTCCATGCAATATATTCTTTTTGATCCTTTAAACCAACCCTTAATCTTTACAAATAGATGTGTTACGTCAGCGTAATGCGGATCCTTTTCTCCCTTTTTGCCCTCTTTTTCTGGTTTGTCCCTCCTTGGAGGTTTGTGCTCTCTGGCATGGGCAGGAGCGGTGGCAACTGCTGCATACAGAAGAGGCAAGGTCAGGAATTTTCAGTATGAATGGAATTGGTTCAGGCTTCAAAATTATTAATTAAAAAAAAGCCATGTAGGATGGAAGTTTTTTGCATATCCCTCATCGGTTTGTGGGGAATCCCTGCCTGGTATGTATGCCAATATGCATACAGAGCAAGTGTTTCAACACGTGTACTTCTGAAAATCTGACAGATACCAGGGAGCAGAGCACAAACTGAAAATATCAGTACCGACAAATTTAACTAATGACTCTTCCCCATTGATTTAAAATAAATAGTTACTGCTTTTTGTGCAAATATTTCCTGTTGATTAAAGACAGCATAATCTCGTCCTCTTTATTCGCTGCTTTGTGAATGTTTCTAACCACACACGGGTATTGAAAAAAAAAAAAAAAATTTACAAATGTGGATAAGACTTAAATACTCATCTGCATCTTTGCGTCAGCACAACTCAATTTGACGGTGTATTTTTGCCAGGTGGAATAAAGAGCAATAAATTAGTTTCGAACATTTATGATCTTGCATTATAAAGACTGCAACAGGCTGTGTTCAAAATCAATTGTCAGAGTGATGGGGGATTAATAACTGCGGTACTGTAACCTTTTATGTATGTGCAGACCGGGTAAGGGCACTTTTCAAGATCTGCTGCCATATTTCATTATTGCAACTTATATTTGAAAGACCTTTTTGATGCCTAAAAAAAAAAAAGAAACAGATTAGTTTTTAGTAGAGCTGGATGAATAACTCATAATTAATAATTCATTCAGTGAATTTTGCCTTTTATTCTGTGGGAAGGATTAAAAAAAAATAGTTGTCAAAATTTCTCATGAGTTCTATTGACTAGTTTTGTTGTTTTGGTTTTTTTTTTTTAATAAAAACTAGAAATCAGAATTCAGGGTGTGTTACTTATTTGTGATTGACAACTCATATGGCATTGCTTTAATTCCCCAATTAATTGACAAATACTAAAATACATTTCATGATTAAATGTTTGATGAGAGTGTATTTAAAACCCCCTTTCTACAGACATGCAAAATCTGTTTTTCGCAAGCACTACTGAATGTAAAAATCCAAGTGCAGGAAAATTGTTGGAAAGTAAATGCAAATGAGGCAGGAATATGGCCAAACCAAGTTCATTACAAGACACAAATGAGTTTCTGTGGGCTTCCAGAGTGTTTTCCAGCTGTAGTTTCCCTCTTCAGCTCCAGCACCCATTTCGGCAGAAGCCTACTAAATATTTGGGATAAACACGGGAGCAAGGTAACTGAGAGCTGTATTGAATTTCCCTAGCTCCCCCATGTTGTGTTTCTTGATAGTGAAACGTTTTATAATAGTGAAACCACACGAGGAGTTGCCATCGTTTGGCTTTCTTTGCCTCTCAGCTGGCAAGTTCACCAGTGCGAGCTCTACTGGGCTCAGAGGCATCTATGGATTCTTCGGTGTTTTGTTTTTTTTTTTTTCATATATGCACTTTATTTTGGTTTCTTCCTAAATAGAGGTAAAACAGTTAAATATTTCCCAACAAAATACACATATGTAATCTCAAGGGCCGTGCATACCATCGAACTGTCATTTCCTTCGATTAACCTTCACCTGACCTCTCTCCCTAAGGCAGTTTCAGATCCTTTTGTTCCTCCATTTAAGTCCTGCGCTCTATCAGGTGAGTACATCTGTCATTCAGGAGCTGGCCATTTTACTAGAGAACTCGGTGGAGATGTGGTAACGGAAAACCGGGCAGGGTCTGTCCCAGACCAGACAGCCCAGTCTCATACGCAGGGCCGGTGTCACTTACTGGGTGTCTCTAGGAGTGTAAAGGAAGCAGAGCTCGCACAAATGCCATTGAAGATAGCTGAATTTTAAGAGTGTCTATTAATTGTTTTATGAATATCATTAAATATTTAAGATCAGAAAAGGATCATGGCTGAGATCAACGGAACTTTTCTGCTCCGCAACTCCCTCACGTTGTCGGGAAGTGCCAGTTTGTGGAGAATAAAATTACTAACAGGAGAGGATCGGAGTTAATGAATCACCACCTTTACAACAGTAGAGTTTGGAAATTGCCACGGTGGTCGGTTTTAGCATTTTGAAACCCAACAGGTTTGTGTTTCAGGTCCTTATTTTATAATTATTTTTTTTTTTTATCTACAGATAGCAAGAAAATGAAAATTAAAAAGGCCAGGAGCAATAAAACATTTTAAAACGATTCACGCCTATAAATTTCACTTGATCTAAACTGAACTTTTCTGGATGGCAAGAAATGTTACTGCTTTGTGTCACAGCTTGGGACAATTTTATTTATTTTTTTTTTTTTTAAACTTGAAAATTCATCTAGGGGAATAATATGGAACTGAGATACAACGAATCCAGTTAGATCACACATTTGGCTGACAGCAATGAAGAGCAAAGCCTGCATTGAATCCAGAGCTTCTGCTTATGTAATAGAATATTTTTTTAGAATGATAATAAAGGTCATGTGTGATGAAGTATCTCTTCATCCCAAAGTAAGCTGGTACAGTGGCTCATGGTAGTTCTGAAGAGCTAAAACTGTACACCTTGATTCTAGGCTTAATTTCACTGTTGAATCTCATATCTTTCCTAATAGATTAAAAATGTGTTACCAGAAGCCTCAGCATCGTATCAGTTCTTACAGATGAGGATTGACTCATTCCTTAAGTCAGTCTCTGATGAACTAAATAGGTCAGACTTCCTTAACATTTCATCATCAGGCATACTGTACGGATCTTACATGATTTTTTTGGTAGATATTCTTTTTACCTCTCTCAGTTTGTCCCTTTATTTATTTATTTATTTATTTTTATTATACAGTTTAAAGTTTGAAGAACAGAGTCAAAGTATGCAACGTTTCATGATTTCTATTCAGCCTTCAAGACTGCGAGTTGAAAAATAGTGAGTTTTAACGTAAGAGAACTGTACTATAAGATTTCTGTGCAAACGCTGGATTCATTCCTTCTGCAGAGAGTTTATAATCTATATTTTAAGCTTTAATTCATGCTGGATTTTTTTTCCGATTCTAGTGGGAAAGTTGCATTTTATAACCCACGTGGAAGCAGA